GTTGCTTAACTTTAAGTCTTGAGGAATAGGGTAGACTGCACGGAGCTATGTGCCGTGCAGTTTACACTATTCCGAAAGGCTTGAAGCTAATTAACGAGCATTGCGCCTCTTTTTTATTTTTAAAGACTTATTACAAGTCAGAAATAAATAGAAAAAAATAAATATAGCAGAAAAGAAAAAAAACTATATAAAAAACTACTCAGAAATAAATAGAAGAAAAAATAGTTGTGATTAACTTTGCTAAAAAAATGAGCATAGATGCGCTTATAGAGAAAATTAGATCTAAATTCATAATAAATTTCTACTAACTTCAGAGAAATTCAATATGAATTTAGGTCAAATTCTCTGTATAAGGGCATCTATTTTCACTTTGAGAGGAGCTCAACAAGGCAGAAAGGGAGGGGCTTATAAACGGGTGTGAGCGCCCTTCGGTTGGCGAGGTGGGACTAAACTCTGACCAACCCTTTAGTCCCGGTTCGTGCCACCAACCGGGACTAATGGGCTGCCTTTGGTCCTGGTTCAAGCCACCAACCGAGACCAATGGTGGTGGGCCAGGAGCGAGGCCCATTGGTCCCGGTTCGTCCCACCAACCGGAACCAAAAGGTCCAGACGAACCGGGACCAATGGCCCACGTGGCCTGGCCGGCCCCCGGGGCTCACGAACCGGGTCTAATGCCACCATTGGTCCTGGTTCTGGACTAAACCGGGACTAATGGGCTGACCCGGCCTGGACCATTGCCCCCTTTTCTACTAGTGTGCTGTTAGTGTTGAATTGCATGCAACAAAAAAACTCACTAGCGCAAGATTGGTAAGGGGTGTGTACCTCTTGTTCTCAAGGATGTCCCCAAGTTCTTTTATGAGCTCTTGTTCGTTTAGTATGCAAGTACTGCTGTAACTGATGTTCATGGTGAGCTGTGATGTCCCTGAGAACCTTCTTCACGTCAGCATTCTAACCAGCCACAACAAAAGCTTTGCAGTTGAAACCCCTTTCGATCTCATCATACACCGACTTAACAAGAGTGGTTTTGCCCAATCCTGCAGGTCTATGAACATGATTAGTCGAGTACCTTGCACGTTCTTCGCTCAAGCAAAATATTTGACGCTTCATCTCCTTGATTTCTTTGGTGAGGATCTGATGGCGAGTCTTGACTTTCTTGAGCAAGCCACAAATCTTCTCCATGAGGCCCCTAGAGCCTTCCGAG